TCCAGTAAAATCAATCAGTAAAAACATTTTAGGCATTTTTTTTCTTTAAAGCATGTTTTAAATCTTCATTTTAGAATGATTATTTAAAATAAAGTAAAATAAATTGTTGTAAAAACATGTTAAAAAATTATAATAAATGTGAATTTCAATAAGTGAATGTCAATAGTTAGTAGTAAAAGGTTAATGATTAATTGATTATGAAATTAATCCTTTATAGTTAAAAAGATGTTGTGTATAAAAGTATTGAATTTATTTTTTAGAGTAAATTAATTAAGAGTTTGAATTAATAATATAAAATGTCTTAGAAAAATTGCACTTTCAATAGTGAGTGGGTAAAAGATTCTAGATTTTCAAATTGGATATCTGCAGACAAAAACTGTATTGAGTGCAAGGTGTAGACTTTGCATGTGTAGTAGTAGCTTAAGTAACATGGTAATTGGAGCAGTATTGAGTCATGGGTTAGGTAAGAAACATCTTAGAAAGGTAGAAGAAACTAAAAGCATTGATATCCTTTTTGACAAACTACCACCTCCAATAGAAAAGTTGTGTTCATTTAAAGCAACTTCAAAAATTTCAAAATCTATTGAATTGTACATTGTTCCTGCCTGCACTCTTAACGCAGAAATACTGTAGACTTTAAAGATTGTTGTGTCCCACTATTTACTTAGATCATGTACTGGTTTAAGTGAATTATTTAAACTTATGTTTACTGATAGCGAAATAGTAAAAGGTTTTTCATTGAGTCGAACAAAATGTAGCATTTAATAAACTTTGGAATGTATCCTTATTTCAAAAATGCATTAATTAAGGAAGTTTAGCTATCACCATTTTTTGTTATCTCCTATGATGAGTCTATGAATCATATACTTCAAGAGAAACAGATGGATATTCTAATTCGATATTGGAATGAGTCCTCAAGTGTCGTTGAAACTTTTATTTGGATTCAAAATTTTTAAAACAACCTAATGCTGAAAATTTAACCACAGAGTTAAATGAGACATTAAAGGAATTGCCAACAAAAAACTTTCTTCAGCTCTCCATGGATAGACCAAATACCAACTGGAAAGTTCTAGATCTTCTTAATGACCAACGTTCTAGCTCTGAGTTGCCATCTTTACTTAATATTAGAAGTTGTGGGTTGCATGTGATTCATGGTGCATTTGCTTCTGGTGTTAAATCGATACCATGGAACTTAAAAAAGATCCTTAAGGCGATGTGGAAAATCTTTCATGATTCACCTGCTAGAAGGGACATTTATGTAAAAGACAACTGTTGTGAAGAGTTTCCATTTCTTTATTTTATAAGTCTTAAACTATTATGCCCTCAGCTTTCTACTCCCCATTGTTTAGCACACCATCAACTGATACATAAAATGGACCTATCATTTATTTATTACGTTTATTAGATTCTGTCAAACACGCTGGATTGAGGATGAAGCAGTTGCTGATAGAGCCATTAGTATTTAAGGAAATGTTGTTAAGGTCCTTATATACTGGGAAAGTCTTAGCAAAAGCCAAAGGCCTAAATATAAATCGTATGATACACTAATAAGTCATTACAAGGACAACCTTCTAATAGCAAAGTTGGAATTCTTCAGGGATACAGCGTCGCGTTTGAAAGAATATTTAGTGTTATTAAGAATATTTAGTCCAAACAGATTCTCCAATGGTTCCTTTCCTAAATGGCACCTTGAAAATGGTTGTTTAAAAAGATTTTGCGCATCTTTATAAAAGAAGATGTATTGAATGCTGCAACCACTACATACCAACTTATCAAGCTTGATGTCTCAAAAAAGAAAATCAATTGCCAGCTGATCAAATACACCTTGGAACAGCGGTCAAATTTATTTTACGCTCTAAAGATGTAAAAGAAACTGCAAAACATAAGTTTAAAGAAGATTGCATTAATATGATGGTTAAAGTTGTTGAATAACTGCAAAAAAGAAGTCCTTTCAAATATATGTTAGTGCGAAACGCAGCAAGTCTATCCCCTAATAATATGGTTGATAACAAAGAAGTGGGGTTGGCTTGTTTCGGTCAGCTAATTGATAAGCTGTATAGTTCAAAGTTGATATCGGACCAAACAGCTGATTCAGCAAAATATCAGTTTGAAGAATTTACAAAATCTGTTGTAGCAGTTAATAAGGAAGAGTTCAGGCAATTTGATTGCCTAAAAATACGACTTGACAAGTTTTTAATGTCTTACTTGAATGGGAACAAACATTTTGAATTATTAAAGAAAATTTGCATTGTTTCCACTTTATCTCACAGTCAGTGTGCTGTTGAGCAAGGTTTTAGTGTCAACAAAGAACTTTTAATTGAGAACATGCAGCAAACTTCTTTGATTAGTCAGCGTACTCTTTATGACCATCTAACCGCATCGAAACTGGATGTACAAAATTTCACAATAACTAATGAATTAACAAAAAGTTGCAAGTTAACTCAATCTCGATATGTGCAATATTTAGATGAAAATAAAAAAGAAAATATTATTACTAAAAAAGCAGAAAAAAGAAAGCTTATCATTGAAGAAATTGTTTGTGTAAAAAAGAGAAAAAAAGATATTCAATCGTGTATCTTTACTCTAAACCAAGAAATTGAATGTTTTAGCATTCAAGCAGAAGAATCTAATTCCATGGAATTATTAGTTAAAGCCAATGCTTTCAGGTGAAAAGTAAAAGAAAAGCAAACCCTTATTGAACAGCTGGATAATGCAATTAGTAAATTAGAAACAGATTTAAAAAAGAGTTAGTTTTACATAGATATGTTTTTATAGTTTGTTTTGTTTAACATTTTAAGTTGAAAGTATTTTTGTAAGTCATTTTATATATTTTGATAGATAGTTTTAATGCAGTGAAGTACTTTTGATTTTTTCGAATATTTATTTTTGTTCAAAATTTTAAACTTCGTTACTTTAACCATTCATATAAAAGATTCACATCTATAATTCTTGCACAAAAAAGTTATATATGATAGCTATTTGTTATTCAGAAGCCTAAAATGTTTAGAGTAAAGTTACGTTAGCAATTAAAGAGATCCTAAAAGTACTTATATTGCAGGTCAAATGTTTTGGGAAAATCTACTTGGATCAGCCATTTTAAATTCCTATTTTAAAGTTTTATATCCTTCATCATAGTAGATTCTCTTAAAATATTTTTTTGTGACTTAAGTACTTTTAGTACTAAGCTCTTCAATTATACTCTAATAAAGTTTATCTAATAAAGATTATTTTATTCATTTTTGTAAAATAGTATATTTTATATTTTACATATATAAAAAATATATATGTAAAATATAAAATATACATTCTTTAAAAATATTTAAAATGTAATTTTTTTGAATCTGTTCAAAAATTAGAGTTTGTAAGAGTAGCTAGTAAGATTTAGGGTAAAACACCTAGTAAAGATTATTTTATTTATTTTTGTAAAATAGTGAGCATATCTTAGATAAAATATATATGTAAAATATAAAATATATATATCCTTTTAAAAGATTATAAAATGTAAAAAAGTTAAAAAATTTTGTAAGAGTAGTAAGAATTAGGGTAAAACACCTAGTACTCCATGCGCTCTTATTTTTCTTAATTTAAAAGATCATGTGCCTTTATTTTTAAAGTTACAATTGTGATACTTTGGTCAGTTATAAGGCAAACATAAGAGTTTTTTTCAGACATGATTTTAGAACTTTCTAGCAATTAGTTTTTGGTTTGTGAGTTTTTACAAGTGGCAACGGCTAGGTGCATGGCATGTACTAAACATTTTACACTAGTGATTTATCATGAAACTTTATAAAGAGTCATGGAAAAGTCATGGAATTTCATTTTCAGATTTGAGCGGCCGCCCTGGTTAAAATTTATTATAAAATTTTTAAGAATTGTAGCTGTAACTAAGTGAGCTTTTATTCTTTTAAGACCACAAATATTTTTGTGTTAAAGGAAAAAATCGCTCAATATATGTTGAATAAATTGTCTTCTCGTCCATATATGGAAAACATCGCTGAAATTGAGTTCAAATGTGGTTCTTATAGCATTTTGTCGTTGTGACTATGATTACCCTGTAATTGAAGCATCAGTTTTATCCAATAAGCAAAAAGAAAAAATGTTAGCTTCACCATATACTATAAGAGATTTAAAAGCCGTAATCAATTCAGACTAAAAATGGAAACTTGTTTCAACAATTTGTCTTTTAATGCCCCCTAATAGAAGAGAGTTTTGGAAAAATTTGTAAAGAGTTTTTATGTTTGATTCTTCAATTTCAAAAATATATATAAAAGTTTTGCGTGCATAGAAATTTCCTTGTTGTTTGTTTTTATCTTTTTGTATTATTACTTATTTCATCTAAATACATTTCATCTAAATACATTAAAATTTTTTAAATTTAAACAGATGCAACTAAAATAACTTGTTTTGTAATATTAGTAACTCACGTAAGAAGGTCAAAAACGTTAGAGGAGAGGGCGGAAACAGAAATAAAAGTGGGCTAGGGCAGCAAAAAATAGAATTTGAATGAAATTTTAAGAAACTCAAGAGGGAAGTGGCGATTGTCTTCTCCAATCCCCCCTCCTCCCTCCTGTTCTTAAGGCAGTGATATTAGTTACACTATATTTTGAAATTCTTAATAGTTAATTATTGTTTTATTATAATATTTATAATTATTGTTATAATGTAATAATTATTTTTATAATATAACAATAACTATAATTGTTATAGTAAAACTATAATTAACTATTAACAATTTCAAAACATTGTGTAGTTGAATGATTTTTCCCAAATGAATGTGTAAGGCATTTTGAAAAAAATTTTGAAAATTAAAAGCAGATATTATTTTTAAGGCATTTTGTAAAACTAGTAATTTTTATGAACTTTTTTAAAAAATAATTATTCAATAACATTTGTTATCATCTATATTAGATTATTTTATAAAAAGGTAAACTTTCAATTTTTTGATTTTAAGGCGTTTTGAAAAATGGCTGTAGCATAGTCATTATAATTTATTTTTTTAGGTCTTTTATTGGTCCAACTTTAGGTAGTTTCCTTGCTGAAAAGTTATCTTTTGAGTATACTGCCACAGTAAGTTTTTATCAATTTTCTTATTCACCATTACATCACAAAAAGTTTATATATATATATATATATATATATATATATATATAAGTAGTAGGAAAAGGAGAGTTCTGGGACATTTTTCATTTTCAACCATATTTTCAATCATATATTTAATTAAATATATGATTCATTATCATTCATAGTGTGTATAAATTATATAAATAAGAAATAAATTTTTAAATCACTTCGTGACCAATGCTACGCTTAAAAATTAATATCAATTTTGTTTCTATTGCGTGACGTCATAGGTCACGTGATTTTCTTGCTTAAAATTTAATTGAATGTGCCAATCCCATTATAGCATAATCAATTAAATTTAAGAGGTCTTCTTAAATTTAATTCAAAATGGAAATATTCAAGGATATATAAATATTTTTTTTTAGCAGCATTATCAATTGCATTTTCTGTACCTTTTTCTCCTAATTGAACTAATAATTTAATTAGATCATTTCTACCTATTTTTGCAGCAAAGTCAATTTTATTCCAATTATCTTTATAACCTTCTTTTTTTAATATTTCAGTAATATAATATATTTGAGTTGAAGGCTTAATTATGTTTTTTATTAAAAAATTATTATTCTCAATATTATATTCCATTCTTTTTATATAGAAAAGAAAGTTATTTAATTCATTTTAAAAAAATTATTTTAATTTTCTTGTAAAAATATATAAACTTTATCATTTGCTAGAGTTGTAATTTGAAGTTGTTGTTGTTACAGTAGTATTTGTATTAGCATTACCAGAAGTAGCTGTTACACATATATTCACATTTACATTTGAGTTGTTCATTTTTTATATATTTAATATAATTATTTATAAACTTTTCAATTCTGTATTATCAACCCATGAGTTAAAAGTATCAGGATACCCATACCACTTTACAAATGATTTATTACCTTGTTTTTTAATAACTTTTTCAATTCTAAATATCTCTTGACTTGTTTTTTGAAGTTCTTGTTCATAAAAAGTACCTTGTATTTCTTCACCATTGTAATCAGTTATTTTATAAGTAGGTGGATCTGTGTACTGAACTTGTGATACTGTGAATACTTCTTCAGTCCATCTTGGTGTATATCCTTTTTCAAACGCTCCTTTCTTTTTAATTATTCTCACTTTATCACCTATTGAAAACTTAGGTTGAATAGGATTTGATTTTACTTTACCATTTAGATTAAACCAAATTTTATTTTCATTCTTTTTATCGCTTGCTTCAGCTGGAGTCATTTTAATTGAAGAATGCTTTGTGTTGTTGTATTGATTTACCATTTCATCTAAGACATCAATGTATTTTCTCGTAGAATTAGCTGAAAAGTATTTGAACATTTTTTCTTTCATTGTTCTATTCCATCGTTCAACAACGCAACTTTTTTCTTCATTTTCAGTTGAATAGAGATGAACTCCTAATGCTTTAACATGTTTGTTATAAAATTCCAAACCTTTATCAACCCATAATTTATCGCATTTCCTAATTTTAAAGATTTTATTGAATGCATTAGCAACTTCAACTCCAGTTTTACTTTTCAGTGGAATTATCCATCCATACTTTGAAAATATATCAATTACCATTAATAAGTATTTTATACCATTATTAAATTTAGAAAAAGTTTGCATGTCAACTAAATCAGCAGCCCATATTTCATCAATACCATTTGCAAACACTTTTCTTTTTTTAAAATGTTTTATAACAGGTTTATGAAGTTCATTTGCAAGTTCATCAGTCCATTTCAGATTCCGAATGGATCCTTGCTTTGCTACGTCGTTTGCTTTTTTCCTGTGCGCTGGTAGTTTTTTTGACATAATTCTTTAATACTCATTGGTTCTTTATTTCCCATACCAAACCTTACTTTAGCAGATATAATAGGTTTTATAATCTTTCTTTTCAATTTTTCACGAGGTGTAGGATTAGGTATAGCATCCATTTGTTCAAGCATCATTTTATCAGCTAAATTTCTATGTTCTTTATCTGTAAAATGTTTATAAGCAATATCATGAATATAAGCTGCTTTATCAACTCTATCTACAGGCATACTCCATTCTTTAGGCATCTCAGTAGAAGTTAATCTTTCATCTAAATTAGTACCAGGTCCTGCAAAGTTCATACCTGGTATATGCATTTCACCTGGAAACTTTTGCAAAGGTAATTTTCTATTACTTGTGAATTTATTAATTGATTCTACCAAGTCACCTCCTTTTTTAGCTCCTTCAGATCTTGTTTTTCCTTTTGTAAATTGAGTTTTTGTTGTTCCACATAGTGCACAATTTCCACGAAGCATATTTCTATTGTTTTTACTTACAACATGCTGTAAGTTGAGTGTATCTGTTTTGTTTCTACATTTAACGCAATACATTTTTTATTACTTTATTTTTATTTAATTTAAAAAAATTATTTATATAAGAAAATGGAAGTATTAGATTTGTCATATAATGTAAATAAAAATAATCGTCATAATAATGAATTATTACCAAGAAGTATAAGAGGACTTATAGTTGGGAAGTCTGGTTGTGGAAAAACAAATTTATTATTAAATTTACTTATAAGACCTGATTGGTTAGACTATAATAACTTACAAGTTTTTGGAAAATCTCTTTTTCAACCTGAATACAAAATATTAAAAAGTTCTTTTGAAAAAAAAGTACCAAAAGAAGATATTCTTAAAATATTTAAGTTACAAGATAAAATAGATAAGATGGATATCAGCCCTGATCTTGTAATTGAAGTCCATTCAAAAAATTTAAAAAATAAAATAGATATGGAGTGTCAGTTTTATGAAACAGCAGATGATGTACCAGAACCTGAAGATCTTGATCTTACTAAAAATAATTTAATGATATTCGATGATTTACAATTAACAAAGCAAAACAAGTGTGAAAAGTACTATATAAGAGGAAGGCATAGTAATGTAGATTGTTTCTATTTAGCGCAAAATTATTTTATGCTACCAAGGAAAACAATAAGAGAAAATGCAAATTTTATATGCTTGTTTAAACAAGATTCAAAAAATGTAAATCATATTTATAATGACCATGTTTCAAATGATATGTCAAAAGAGAGAAAAAGAAAAACTTTTGTAAAATAGTTTGGTCAAAACCACATAAATTTATTGTTATTGATTTATCATCAGATGTGAAAAATGGAAAATATAGAAATGGTTTTGATCGTTTTTATTTTCCTTTATCTGTATTAAATGGTAGATCATGAAAGGATCCAACGAAGTTTTGGTTCTTTCAGAACCTATGCTAAATGAAATATATATTTTCATAAATATATATTTATATCTAGTTCCTTTCAGGACCTAAAGAATCCAACCTAATAATGGGATATTTTTAAATGGTGAATTTTCACCTAATATTAAACCTTTTCCTACTTTTTTATATTGTTTATCGTTTCCAGTTCCTTTTCCATAATAGTAGTAATACCCATTTCCTAAATACCTTCCTTTTTTCCATTCATCTATTAGTAATCCTTTTCCTACTTTTCTAGCTTTAATACATCTTTTATTATCTTTAATATACAAAACACCTTTTCCAGCAATTTTATTAACTATAGTGCTTCCAGCAGCTGCAGCTGTTCCAGCTAATAATGCTGTTGCAACAGTAGGAACAACTTTTGCAGCTAAAAAACTTCCAAGTAATCCTAGTAAAGGTAGAAACCCACCTTCCACTTTAGAATTATGCACGAGATTTTCTTCATTTAATTCAATTGTTATACCTTTTTTATTTTTAAATGCATTGATTACTTTCTCTAATTGTTTGTGTGTTAGAGCTACTACATCTTTAGCATTTTTATCACTTAGATTTTTAAAAGTTAATTTTATAGTAATTTTTTTTGAATCATTCTCAAGTTCTTTCTTTATTTTCTTCTTTTGATAATCTGAAAGTTTAAATTTAATATTTTTATAATCTGTCATTTTATATATACACAATTTTTTTAAATCTCTTTTGAGATTCATACTTCGTTTGGTCTTTCAGGCCTAAGAAATAATCTATTTTTTATATTTTAAAATATTTATCAATTCTTTTAGAAGTGATACTTGTTCTTTTAAAATAGATTCTTGCTCGCATTTAGAAGTTCGTTCTCTTATATGAAATTTCATTGTTATTCTTTCTCCTTGCACATCAATTGGATTTTCATCTTGATCAATTAATGAAGTTTCCATATCACGAATATCTCCTCTTAGAGATATAGGTAAGTAAATGGGAACATTGGGTTTTTCTACAAGTTTAGCTCCAGGAGCTACAGAGGGGTAAAACGTATAAATAATATTGCTAGGTGAATTATCTAAATAAGATCCTGATATAATACTATTTTTTACATGTATAGTATTAATATGATTTATATCTAATACTTTTACAGATTCATAAACACCTGCAGTATATAATTTACTTTCAAAACCTAAAAGATTTCTGATTGAATTTTCAATTCTAAAATCAATAGCAAAATTTGTTTCAATAGTCATTGTAACTTTAAATGTTGTTGTACTTCCTACAAAAGTAATTGAATTCATAGGAAGTTGAGAAGCAACTAATTCTTTTTGCATCCAGTCATTAATTGAAGTAAGTTCATAGACCCCTGTTGGAATATTACGATTAGCTGTGGATGGGTTTTTAGTAGTTGCATCATAAATAATATAAGTAAATTTATTGTTGTTTGCAGTAATATTATTAAGTAAATGATATGTTTCTAAGCTTATTAATGCCATTTCATATTCTTTTTTTCCATCAAGTGGAATAGCTGGTAAAAACTTTCTTCTTATTGTTGAAGTATCTCCTCCAATACATATATCCATTTTTATATATGTATTATTATTTTTTAATTCATTATAATGAGTAACTTTACTGCTTTACTTCCCTTAGATGAAATTGTATTATTAATCTTTCTTTACTCATATCTATAGCATAACGATCGTCATCCACTATTTCAACTGTCATTTTTGAAAGTGTGTTTGTTCTTAATGGAAAATAAC